CATTCTGGTCTATTCTGTTGTAAGTGAGTCATGGAGTCCAGCCCCCATTCCAGAAAGCAGAAATAAGCTACAGCTCTTGAAGCTTGTGTGAGTTGGTTCTCTTTTACCAGGTACATTCCAGGGATCAAACTCAGGTCAACGGGCTTGTCAGAAAGCACCTTAACTTGCTGAGCCATCTTGCTGGGGGAGGCTCTTTGTGCCCACATTATCAGGTCACTAAACCACCTTGTCAAGGTTCCTTCCCTTTGGCCTTGGCCATTCCAAAAAGCCTGGAAAGTAACTTTCACAGAAGCTGGAGATTCTAGGTGTGCATCTGCATACACTGTGAGAGGAATGACTTGGTGCACTGAGGTTGCCCAACTGATACTATCCTAGATGCCCACTTGTCTAGAAACCTAGACAAGAGGACAGCAGGGACCCTATGTGCATGATTGCCTTCAGCCACTCGGGGTGACTCTCGGTGTAAGAGTGTCACTGTGGCCATTTGTCAAAGCACACACACTCTGGAAACAAAGCCAAATAGGTACTGATAAGTCCCATTATACAGATGAAGTACTGTCCTAGACTTTGTTCTGTGATGCAGTAGGAAGAGTTTCAGAGTCACATCTGTCTGGAAAAAAAAAAGAAGAGCACCCCCGGAACCACCCATCCACAGCTGAGCCTGATCACTTCCCCTGTGTCTTTCCTCACTGTGGCTACAAGGGCAGGACATTCTTGACACAGGCAACCTTCACCTCTATAGCCAGAGACAGGCTATCCCATCAACAAATCCAGATTCAGACCTTCTGGTCTCTGTACCTCTTTCCTCCACAGCTGGACACAGGCCCACTCAGCAAGGGTGCCCCAAGCTCCCTAAATTGGACTCTGGTGTCCACACTCTAGGGTCAGCTCTGAGCCAGTGTTGACAGGAGGTACCTGTAATGGCTATACAGGGTCCCAGACAGTGCTTGCCCCAGGCAGTTGCCCTTACATTAAGGATTAGGGCAGAGTCAAGAGGAAGCAAGGTCAGGTGGTAGCTGAAAGAAATGGAATGTGTGAACACAGTATGAAGGTCAGGCTCTGCAGATGGAGGAGCTTGGAAGGGCAGCAGAGAGGTTCATGCCAGGATGGAAGTCCTGCCCCCTGAGCCTGAGATGCTGTTCTCTCTGCCTGCCTACTCCCTACCCAGCCTGGCTCCCAGCTAGGCCCAGGTTCAAAAGCCCAATGTCACAAGGATGAGGATGCTCCCAGTTGGCTCAAGGAGGTATATCCTCTTGTACCATCCAGCTCAATCTTGCCTCCCTTTAGGGATCCCTGGAGCATTATGCACCTCCATCACCCAAAAACACACTCAGTCCCTGATGCCTTACTCCCCTGCCCATGCCACATGTGGCTCCAGGTATAAACTTTGTGTAGTCTGGTTGCTTCTTACCTGCATAGTTCTCTATAGTACATGCAGGCTTCTCGTTCCTTTCAGCATGCTTCTAGGCTGCTATGAAGGATAACAGGCTCTGGCCCTTTCTCTTCGTGCAGCTTCAAAAGAGGCTCAGTGAGGACTAACACACAGAGAAACATGCTCACATATGTACATACACCATAAACATACATGCACATATACACACATACATGCTTATATACACTCACACAGGCACGCACACCTCTGCACACCACACACATATATGCATACATGTATACATTCCAATCCATGTCACAAAAACATGTATGCACACATTGGTTCCTACTTTTCACAATATGTAAAAATCATTAATTCCAATGTACATGGGAAGGGCAGCTGAGCTCTGAGCTTTCTGCATAACCAGGTCTTGTAAGGGGACAACTCCAAGGAGTGTGGCCTAGTCAGACTGTCCCCCTGTTGTTGCTCAGGGAAGTGACTAGTCCCAGGGCCATCATGGTCAACAATAAGCACAAGACACTTGTGGCTCCGCTATGAGTGGTACAGGTCTCTTTTCTTTATCCTACCAGAGTCAGGCCTTCTGGGCCCTGCCCTACCTCAACCACCTCCCCACAATCACCACTTGAAAGCCATCCATCAAAGGGGAATGTGGGTATGAAGGGAGAGGCAATGAAAGAGATGCCACCAGCCAGACAAGTGGCACACACCTTTAGTCCCAGCACTCGGGAGGCAAAGGCAGGCAGATCTCTGTGAGTTCAAGGCCAGCCTGCTCTATAGTGTGAGTTCCAGGACAGGTAGAGCTACACAGAGAAATCCTGTCTTGAAAAAAAAAAAAAACACAAAAAAAAACAAAGAAAAGAAAGAAAGGGGGATGCCACCAAGGACTGTCATACCTGCCTTTCACTTAGCCCAGACCCAGAGCTCTGTAGGTGTGAGTGTGTGGATGGGGTGTGTGAGTGTGTGTGTCCATATGCACACATGCATAAGTGGCAGCAGCAAGCAGGCAAGGTAGCACACAATGTAAGTACACAATCTGAATGCAAAGGAGGTTGTGGCTGCATTGTAGTAGGCAGGAGAACACAGAAAGTCATCACAAGCCTGGAAAGAACAAGATCTGTGTCTGTCTGTCTGCCTGTGCACACATGTACAAAAGTGCACAAGCCAGGGAGCAAGCATATTGTGTCCCAGGGACTCCAGGAGCTTAGCTGAGCATTTGGGAAGCATCTTCAGACCTTGAACATAAGGAGCCCCTCTGCTGCCTCCTCCCCACACACTTGAACAATACACAAAAGACCTGTGGCACAGTACACTTCAGCCATAGACATATGCCGGATATCTGCTATCTGAGCAGAAACATTCTGATACCTCCACACTCTTACCAGGCATGGTCTTCCTGCCTGATATGACTTTCTTCCCTGAGGCACTTAGTGAACTCCTGCTTCAACAAGAAACCGGGTGGACCACCTTCTGGAGCACTTTCCTTGGTCCTGCCTCATAGGGGGATGTTGCAAGCTGCTTGTTGAAATTGGTCAGCTTCTTCCTGCTTATTATCCAGGAACTACATCCAGACCTAGATGGACTCTGAAAGCTAATGAACCTGGTGCACTCATTCTTTCTTCAGACATTTGTTGCTAGACTGTACTTCCTCCCTGAGGAACACAACAAGTAATCAATTATTACACTAGATGTATATTTCAGAAAGTTGTAATTGGGACAGAATTTAAAGAAATAGGAAGGTTTGGGTGTAGCTCAGTGGTAGAGCATTGGCCTACCATGTACAAGGCCATGGGTTCCATCCCCAGCACTGAAAAAAAAATTCCATTAACTAAAAATAAATAGGGTCTTATTCTGATGTTGATATGAATTTCTGCTGTTGTTAAATCTAGATCTGTCTTACAGGCAGAATAAACAATTCAGTGGCCATATCTTCATGAAGTTATAGACTTTGTATCCTTCTTTTTCCTGAGTCTGGGTCTAGAACAGCCAAAGAAACAAAACTTCTTCCTCTGAACCTACCTGAGATCTTTCCCTGTTGCTGGGCATGACAACTATATTTGGTAAAATAATAATAATCTGTACAAATATCTTAAAATTTTCATTTCAACATAACAATGTATAATAAAGGGTCATTCCACCAACAGGACATAGTAATCTTTTTTTTTCATTTTTCTTTATTAAGAAATTTTCTACTCACTTCACAGACCACCCACAGATCCCCCCTCCTCCCTCCTCCCATCCCCCAGCCCTCTCTCCCAAGCCACCCCACATCCCCACATCCCTCAAATCAAGGTCTCCCATGGGGAGTCAGCAGAGCCTGGCACACTGAGCCTAGGCAGGTCCAAGCCCCTCCCCACTGCACCAAGGCTGTGCAAGGTGTCACACCACAGGCACCAGATTCCAGAAGCCTGTCCATGCACCAGGGATAGATCCTGATCCCCCTGCCTGGGTGCCCCCCAAACAGTTCGAGCCAAACAACCGTCTTCCGTATCCAGAGGGCCTAGTCCAGTCCCATGGGGGCTCCACAGCCACCAGTCCACAGTTCATGGGCTTCCACTAGTGTGGCCGGTCATCTCAGCACTTCCTCCCATCATGATCTCGACGTCCCTTGCCTGCAGAATCCCTCCTCTCTCTCATCAATTGGATTCCCGGAGCTCAGCCTGAAATCTTAAATTCATATTCACCAAACAATAAAACTGCAAAATGTCTGAAACAAAAACTGATAGAAGGTTAAAAAAAAAATCCAGGGGATGAAGAGATGGCTCAGCAGTTAAGAATACTTGCTACTCCTACAAAGGACCTAAGTTTGCTTCCCAGCACCCACTTTGGGCTGCTTACAATTACCTGTAACTCTAACTTTAAGAAATCTACTGTATTTTTCTGGCCTCTGTGGGAACTTACACTCACATGCATATACTACACACACACACACACACACACACACACACACACACACACACACACACACACACACACACACTTAAAAATAAATAAAATAGCCCGGGCAGTGGTGGTGCACACCTTTAATCCCAGCACTTGGGAGGCAGAGGCAGGGGGATCTCTGTGAGTTTGAGGCCAGCCTGGTCTACAGAGCGAGATCCACGACAGGCACCAAAACTACACAGAGAAACCCTGTCTCGAAAAACCAAAAAATAAAAAATAAAAGTAAAAAAAATAAAATATTTGAGAGGGTATTTTCTTTTGTTTGGACATGGGCTCTCACTAAGTAGCCTTGGCTGATCTGGAACTTGTTCTGTAGACGAGGCTGGCTTTGAGTTCATAGAAATCCACCAGCCTATGCCTCTTGAGTAATGGGATTAAAGACATGTGCCAGCCAGGCTTAGTGGCACACATGTTTAGTTTAATTACTGCACTTGGGAAGCTGAGACAGGCGGATCTCTGTGAGTTCAAGCCAGTCTGGTCTACATAGTGAATTCCAGGACAGCCAGAACTACATAGTGAGACCCTGTCTCAAAAAAAAAGAGGCATATGCCACCACAAATAAAATATTTTTCAAAAAGGACAGATCCATCCAGAACTGTGGATGAAGATTTCAAAGCCTCTGGCAAATTCTGTCTCTCTGTGTGTATGTGTATGTGTATGTGTGTGTGTGTGTGTGTGTGTGTGTGTGTGTGTGTGTGTGTGTGTGTGTGTCCATGCACATGTGAACATGTATTCATCACATATGTGCATGCACTCACAAAAGTGGAGGCCAGGGGACAATTTTCAAAGTTGTACCTCAGGAATTGTGTGCTTTGTTTTGTTGTTGTTGTTTGTTTGATTGATTTTTTGTTGTGTTGTTTGTTGTTGTTATTGTTGTTTTTGGTTTTTCAAGACAGGGTTTCTCTGTATAACAGCCCTGACTGTCCTGGAACTTGCTTTATAGACCAGGCTGGCCTTGAACTCATAGAGAACTGCCTGCCTCTGCCTCTCGAGTTCTGGGTGTGTGTGTGCCTGGTTTTTAAGACAGGGTATATCACTAGCCTGGAACTCAACAAGTAGGCAAGGCTAGCTGGCCAGTGAGGCCCAGGAATCCTCCTGCCTCTGCCTCCCCAGTGCTAGAATTAGAAATTCATTCCACTATGTCCAGCTTTTTAAATAGATTCTGAGAATTAAACTCAGGTCCTCAGAATTGTGAAGCAAGCACTTTACTAGCTGAGATATCTCCTCAGACCCAACCTCGGTTAAATTTTACAACAATAACTAGACAGAAAATCAGCTGAAATATAAAATAACTCAACAATACCATCAACAAGCAGAATCAAAAAAGATATTTATAGAGCACAGTACCCAATAGCAGAATGTCCATTCTTTCCAAGTGCCTATGGAATACATATCAATATAGACCATGTCCTAGGAAAATTTCAACAAACTTTTTAAAAACTGAAATCATACAGAGTGTGTTCTCCAATCACAATACAACCTAGTACTTGATAAAAGAAATGAATCTAAACACACTTCTAAACAATTTACTATTCAGACAGGGGATGTGGCTCAAAAATAAAGTGCTTGCCTAGCTTGCACAAAACCTTGGGTTTGATCCCCAGCATCATAAATAAACAACCCATGCATCAAAGAGCATGATGGCTATTCTTTGGCTGTCAACTTGACTACAGCTGGAATAAATTAAAACCCAAGCAGCTGGGTACACCTGTGAAGGATTTCTCTTAATTAAATCATTTGAAGTGGAAATACCCACCTTTAATCTGAATCTTTTGAGATGGGAAGATTTACCTTTAATCTGGGCCATACCTTCTGCTGGCAGCCTATATAAAGACATGGAAGAAGGATGCTCGCTCTCTCTCTTTTCCTGCTTGCCTTCGCTTTCGATGGCAAGTCCATTCCTTCACTGGCATTAGAGCCTATTTCTTCAGGATTCCAGCATATACTGAAGATCATCTCATCTCGCCTCATGGACTGAGCAACTGCTGGATTCTTGGACCTTCCATTGGTAGACAGCCATTGTTGGACTAGCTGGACCACCGCCTGTAAGCCGTTCTAATGTGTGTGCGTGTGTGTGTGTGTGTGTGTGTGTGTGTGTGTGTGTGTGTGTGTGTGTATACAGAGTCATTCTGTTCCTCTAGAGAACCCTGACTAATACAAAGAGGAAGTAATAAGAAAAAAAACTTTTTGGAAGAAAAATTTTAATACACTGAAATGAATGAAACTAAAGCTATAGCATGGAAAAAACTAGTTGAATGTAATGAAAGTAGTGCTTGACTCAATTAACAATATCTATCATACCTAAAACTTGAGAAATAAACACTTTAAAAGAAAATTGAAAGTGTGTATATTGCAGGGCTGGAGAGATAGCTCAACAATCAAGCGCACTATAAGGAATCTGGTTGGGTTCCCAGCACCCACATCAGGTGGGTCACAATGTTCTGTAAACTCTAGTTCCAGGAGCCAGTGGTGGTGGCACACACCTTTAATCTCAGCACTCGGGAGGCAGAGGCAGGTGGACCTCTGTGAGTCCAAGGCCAGCCTGGTCTACAGAGTAAGAGTGAGTTCCAGGACAGCCAGGACTGTTTCACTGAGAATCCCTGTCTCGAAAAAACAAAAAAGAAAAAGAAAAACAAAACAAAACAAAAACTCTAGTACCAGGGAATCTAATGACCTATGGTCTCCAAGGGCACCTGCATGAACATGGTATACAAAAATTCAAATAGGCACACAGCATATACATTTTAAAAAAGAATAATTATTTTAGTATATAAAAGCAAATTGCTCAGATATATGTATACAAAAATGTCATTATCTTTATGCTAAAAATTAATTTTAAAATTTAGGGGCCCACACCCAAGAGTATTTGAATAACACAAATTGGATTCATTTTTTGTTTGTTTGCTTTTTTTTTTTTTTTAGAAAAGAGAGAGAACATGAAGTAGAGAGGAGAGAGTGGGTCTGAGAAGAGTTGGGGAGTTGGGTGAATATGATTAAAATACATTGTATGAAATTTTCAAGGAATTAATAAAAGCATTATTTTTTTAATTGGGGCCAGGGAAATGTCTCAGCAGGTAAAAGTGTTGCCAAGCCTAATGACCTTAGTTTGATCTCTGGGACCTACATGGATGGAAAGAGAAAACTGAATTCCAAAAACTATCCTCTGACTTGCACACATATTATGGAATGTACACTCCCACATACATACATTCACAATAAATTTTGAATTGAGGAATAAAATCAGAACATATCAGGAATCTTCAGGTGTTTAGAGTTCTAAAGTTTCACTAGATCTACAATAAAGTACCAAGAGTTGAACTCAGTTCTGAATGTACCTCAGACTGATTAAATAACCCTGGTAAAGTCACTCAAATGTCCTGAATCCCAGTGTTTTCATCTAGGAAAAAATGAGAGTATTTACTTCATACAGATACTTTAGAATTAAGTGATATTACATATGAGAAAACATTTTGGAAATGATTTGCTAGAGCTGTGATAGCAAAATACCACCCACAAGGAGCCTTAAAACAACAGACATTTATTTATTTTCCCCCCAGTCCAGAGGACAGAAGTCCGAGATGTGGGTATTGACAGGACCTTCTGCCCCTGAAGGCTCAGGGGGTGATGTGTTCCTGGCCTTGGCCTGGATTCTGCTGGTTGGCCTGTGACCTTTGGTCTGCTTTGTCTTGTAGATCTTTGCTTCCATCTTCACATCTTCCTGTGTGTTTGTGTCCAAATTCCCCTCTTTTGTAACGACACTGATCTTCATGGATTAGGGGCCCACCTCCCTCCAGTCTGACCTCATCCTGCTTTATCTGCAAAGAGCTGATTTCCAAATAAAGTCACATTCCCAGGTACTGGGAGCCAGGACTTCAGCATATGAAATACAACCCGTGATAAGCTCTCTATGACTGTTATACTATAGAATTTGTGTCTCTCGCTGCTATTGTTACCACCTATTGTCAGTTTAACCTCCTTGCCCACTCCCCCTTACCTACTTGTCACTGTTCACTCCCAGCTTCCTGCCACTCTGTCCCAGTCTTCTTGTTTCTGACTTATTCTTTCCCAAAATGCACCCCAACAGTTCTGTCAGATCCCCTCAAGTTTCTTCACCTAACCCCAACTTCCCTCTCCCACAGCCTCAGTGTTCTCAATCTGGCAGCCTCCTTGCCAGTTTGCCTCAGTGGGACAAGAGGTACATTGTTGTCCCTGAGAAGGCCTGTGCACAGACATGTGTGGTCATGCTGTCACTCTCTGGCTGTAGGTCTGTGTGTCAGTCTTGTGCCCTGTTCTTTTTTTTCTGTTTTTTTTTTTCTAGACAAGAGTTTCACTGTGTAGCCCTGGCTGTCCTGGATCTCACTTGGTAGCCCAGGCTGGCCTCGAACTCACAGAGATCTACTGGCTCTGCCTCCCAAGTGCTGGGATTAAAGGCGTGTGCCACCATCACTTGGTGTTGTCCCCTGTTCTTCAGTAAAATACAGCAAGCCCAGAACACTAGACAGGCCAGCCTTGTCACAGTATCCTACCCCATATTTCCTAGGGACCACAGCTCTTGGTGCATGCTTGTGCCTCTGTCTGGTGGGATTCTGTGCAGCCACCAAGATGACCTATACCTCACAGAGATGCTTTCCCTCTTCCCAGACAACCACTCATTATGGTTTCCTCAGTAGAGAGGTCTGCAGCTAACTGGTCATGGAACATGTGGCAGAAGTGTCCCAGGGACCACCAGTGTGATAACATGGCAGCTTGTCCTCTTCCTACAGTACCTGGGAGTTGGCCAGCTGAAGAAGGAAGGGGAGGCCTGTGGCCAGCAAAGCCTTGACAAGCACACACTTGCCTCTCTTTAAGCTAGTCCCAGCCACCTGAAGTGGCCTGAGGCCTTGAAGAGATACCGGCACCAGCTGAAGGGGGTGGAAGGTGAGAACACTAGGGAGAAAGAAGCTGGGGCTGGCCTGAGATGATTGAAGCATGTCTGAAAGTATTAGATACTTTCTGGGAAGGAAAATGCCAGAAACAAAAACTGGAATTGTACTGTTGAGACCAGCAAGGGTTATGGCAGATGGTGGACAGTGGGAAAGGAGCCTGAGGGGAGCCTGGACCAGAAGAACCAAAGAAGCTGGAGCCTCCAGGATGCAAGGCAGTGCCTTCAGGCTCTGGAACAGGAGACAGGGATTTGAAGGCAACTATCAGGGCCTGGAAGAGGGGGCTGATGGGACACAGGACAGGATGGAATAGGACAGGACGGAACTTGCAGGGTAGGAATCCTTGCCTGGAGGCAGAATGAGGCCACAAGAGTGAATAAGGCAAGCAACAAGGTGCCTATTGACTGCATGGGCAGAGTTGGTAGCCTTAGGCAAATGACAACAGCTATTGAAGCCAGCTGTCCTAGGAGGCAGAGGTCCCCTGGAGGTAGGCCCCATTCTTGGGCCTCTCCATACCCTGGCAGCCTAGTTTAGGACTAAGCCTAGGGTACAGTGTGTAACTACCTTTTCCAGGAATGGTGGTGGGATGCAAAGCAACAGCTTATGGTCCCAGATCCCAGAGCCTGCCTGAAACCAGCTGTTCACTGCCCTGTCCAGCTGCACACAGCCTAAGTATAGAGCAGGGTCCCAGGCTTGCAACTCTCTTCATTCCTGGCTCTACTCACCTTGCTAGAGCCCTTCCATGATCCAGGCTGGGACAAGGTACTAGAGACAGTGATGGCCCTTTCCCAGGTTGATGAGGCTAGGGTTTTTTAAAAAAAGTGTACCCTTTCCTGGCAGAAAGGCAGACTGCATGAGGGCAGACAGAGGAATGACAGGAGGGATGGAGTGGAATAATGTTTTCTACATGCTGTTGATGTGAATTTGAGGGTCAGGGAGAGGAATTACTAAGCTAAATAGTGGCCTCACAAAACATGAGTCCACCTGGAGCTTCAGAATGTGACCTTATTTAGAATAAAGCAGAGGGACACTAAGTATCCTAGTGTATTCTGGAAACTGCAAATAAAGAGCTGGGACTGGAATGTGAGCAGGGAGGAAGTGGGAGAGGGGAGGCCAGAGGGGCACAAGAGCCAGGTCACGTAGGACCTGCAAGCTGGACTTTGTTCTCAAGGCCACAAGGGACCATTAAGGGGCCCTAAAGGGAGGAGTAGCTAAGTATCTGTCTTAAGACAATCCCTCTGGCTTTGAGATGGGAATGGGGGCTGGGAAGAAGCAATGCTGAAAACAGAACAGTGCAGACCAGGAGGGGCAGGAGTTGACAGAGCCAAAGGGATATGTGTATAGAACTTTAACGTCTGTAAGAGTATGTGAAGGCCATGGAAAGAGACATCAGGCTAGAGGTGGGAAGGAATAACCATGAACTCAATTTTTAACTAACATCTGAAGTGCTATGGGCTTCCAGGTGGTAATAGCCAGCTGGCAGTAAGAGGTATGGACAAGATACTCAGAGACACTGATGTCACAGTTGTGACCAAGGAAAGAAGCTGAGGTCATCCAGTGAGGACATGAGAAGGTATGGAATGCCTGAGAAACAGACCTGGGGCAATTGGCCAGGAGGAGGCAAAGCAAGCCAGAAACCTGGCCAGCTGGGGAAGGAAGGGAAAGGTAGGAAGCTAGGAGGGAGCATCACTGCAGCTGAGTATCAATGCAAGTGCAGCTGACATGGCCCTGCCCAAAGAGCTAGGTTGTGGGCATCTCAGCAGGTAGGATGATGTGTGGCCCTGGACACAGTGGCTGGGGAGCAATTACATCCAAACCCCAGGACTGCTGGGAACCAGAGTGAGGCAGCATTCAGAGGACTTGGTGAGGGAGGAAAGATGGTATGTGGGCACATTGACAGGAAGATAGCAGGGTGTCATGAAAAGGAGGAGGCCTGTGCTGATGGGTTGGAGGGCATAAATAAAGAGGCTGACCTAAGACAAGCAAAGGGCCCTATGCCTCTGAGTCTGAACACCAGATGTCCAGAAGGCAAAGTGTTGCAATGCTTTGTGAAATCCAGCCCTCCCCACTCCCTGTCCCTCCTGTCCACCCCTTATCAGAGCTATCTACCTCAGGGATAGAGTGTAGCATGGAGAGAGGGAGAAATAAGCCAAAACCATGTCACCAGGGCCAAACCCAGCAACAAAGGAGAGGGGAGGAGTACCCCCACCACCCAGCAGTCTGACCACAGGGGACAAGTAACAGACAGAAATGTAGGTAATGCTACCTGGCCTGGACTCTGGGGAGATGTGTGCAGGAGAAGGTATAGCACCCACAGGAGGTGCTTGGAAAACAGAAGTTGAAGTGGTGCTACTTGGTAAGCACAGATTAGGTGGCAGGATGGATCCTGGGATGCTGGGCAGGGAAGCTTTTGACAGCCAGTCAAAAAAAATGAACAGAATTTAGGTGAAGTCAAGGCTGGTGATCAGTTAGGGGGTGGAAACTAGCTGTGCAGAGAATAAAAGATGAAGCACACAGCGACAAGGGCTAGGGCAGGGAGGCAAGCTTCGCTAAGAGGAAGAGGATATTCTAAGCACAAGCCTCCCTGCTCTGAAGCCAAGCTCTGAGCACTACTCTTAACTTGTAGCCTTCAGAGCCTTTATCAGACAGCCTGGGAGTAGATGGATCTGTCACTGGGCAACAGCACATGAAGCTTGCCTCTGGGACATGTAAATTTGAGATATCTTTTGAGTGATCCAAAGAAAGCCACTCAGAATACAACTGGGCCCAGGATCTCTAAGACAGAGGCCTTAGAACGTTTGTCAGTATGAGGACATTGGTCAATGGTATGGGCAAAGAAGTGTCCTTGAGAGTGTGAGCAGAGACAATAGGCCCTACTCCATGACACTGGTGGACAAGGGTGATGTCACAAATATGGAAGACAGGATTTCCCAATGCTCCTCCTCTTACAAATATAAGTCAACAACCACTTACCAACAGACAAGACAGGTAATGACAATCCAAACTATGAAGTCAAAACCTCCAGAGGCCAAGCAAGGAGTTTCCAGAAGGTGGCCAGCCGCTCACTAGAACCTGAGCCTTTGATTGGCTTTAGTGGGCTCCTTGAGGTTCTGGCCAGGGCTGAAACATGAAAAAGACATTCAGAATGTGATTATAAATACCCTGGTATAGTAGCATATACCCTTAATCCCAGCACTGGGGAGACGGAGGCAGGAGTATCAGAAGTCCTCCTTAGCTATGTATAGAGTTTGGGGCCAACCTTGCCTACATGAGATCCTGTCTTAAGAAAAGAAAATCAGTGTTGGTGTTTCCTGCCACCAGCCCCATTAGACCTGAGAATTTTCTACATCAGACTTCAAAGGTGTGGCTTGGGGAGATGAGTGGGGGAAGTGCAAACCAAGATCCTGAAGAAACATCTTTTCAGATCAATAACCCAGGTCCCTATCCATGGCCTGCAGGCTGCCCAGCACCTAGACACCAGGAAGCAAGCGTTGGTACTAAGCCTTCCTCCGGCTAGCCTGTGTCACTCTTCTGGCCAGTCAATCCCAAACTGGCAGCAAGTTTTCCCAGGCTTGTAGCCTTAGAGCTTCTGTCCTTGATCCATTTCTTCCTCCACTGAAGCTAGAGAGAACAACTACCTTCAGGCCACACATGCCATGAGACACAGCCCTCATAGCTCTGGCTAGCTCTCCAACTATATGACCCCCAGAGCTGAGTTTTGCAAGTTGAAAGACTGGGTCACCCTCACAATCACATCCTATATTACTCACAGAAGAGGCTTCTACTACTTGAAAACCAAGTCTCAGGTCTCTCCTCCAGGTGGTAACAGCCGAGCACTCGTGGCCAGCTGAGCAGATCCCAGAGTCACCATATTCTCCCTCTTCTCTGTTAATGTAATGGCACTGGACACAACTTGGGCAGCTGCTTTAAGGAAACAGTGCTGCTGACAGTTCAACATCTGCAGGCAGGACAGTAAGGACCCCCCCCCCACCCTGCCCCAGAAGGAACTTAGTGACATCGTGGCTCCTCACCTGAGAAGGCCTGGCCCAGAGCAAAGAGCTTTGGTTGGCAGCTCTCCACACTCAGCATTTTTCAGGCAGGGGCTAGTCAACACTTGCCTTTCTGAGACTTCACTGTCCCCTGCCTCAGCCCACTGCTCAGGGCCTAGCTCCAGGACAAGTACACGTGGTATGGCATCAGCATCCTCCTTGTAGGGCTCTCTCAGGATGCCAATCAGTTACCAATGTGGGAAGTAGGTACTGAGGGGGAATAGCTGCTCACTAAATTTAGATGGAAAAATCCTCACAGAGTTGGCAGAAATATCCTGAGCCTTCCTTGTAGCAGGCAGTCCTCAACAGGAAAGTAAGGAGGGGTAGTGAGGGTGCCAGGATAGGTTCACCTACAGCCTCAGCCTGGGCCTCTGCCTGGTGGGATGACCCCACTCTCTTTCCTGTCCAGCATTTTGTCCATCTAAATTGCAGTCCCAGTTCTTTGTAGCCAGGAGCAGAGGGAAATGACTTCTTCTCTGCCCTGGTAGCTGTATGGGTCCTTGCTGGATGTACTGGGACCTCAGGCCACTCAGGTCCAAGTCTGTGGGAAAGAGTGACCCTAGTCCCCAAGTTCAGAGGTCACTTCCCACTTTACAGGCTGAGACTCAACTGATGGAGCCTGTCAATTTGGCTTTGGCTCCTTGATTGAAAGTAATAGAACTAACTCCATCACTTCTTTCTGTGCTCCAGGAGCATCTAGGAGCACTAAATGAAAGCATGAGCACCCTGTCACTACCAGCCAATGTCACTGCTTGCCCTCATGGTCAGCATGACTTGAATAAGACCTTCACACAGTCCCCCGAGCTGCTTATTACCCAAAAGGCCTGTGGAGGATGACTTCCTACATATAAGGAGACTCCTCCTAACATTTCTGAGCTTCAAGATAGAAAGCAGTAACACTTAAAAAGGCAATCAGGCTAGAGAATCAGGACAAAGTGGCAGGCCTTACCATGTCTTCCTCCTGGAAGCCACTTAGCTTAGCCAGCATTGAATCTTTGCTTAGAAGGTCATTTCTGGTACCTGAAAACCAGACTCTGCCCCAAGATATGCCACAGCTCATCCCAAGGACTTGAGAAAGTCTCAGACTGAGCAGGACAGGCGCATCTAAGGCTCAGTCAGCCTGGGAATCTAGGGACAAAAAGCCAATGGAGCCCTGGACTCTGCAGTTCTGGGGAAGAGGGATAGCTGGAGAAGAAGGTCACCAGAGGAACCAACAGACAAGACAGTTGGTGGTCTCAATGCTGCATAGGGCCCCCACAGCCTCTCCAGAAGTGCTCCTCCCCCTCCCACTGACATCTTAGCCAGGAAAGGTTGCAAGGAGCCCTGATCTGGGTTGTCCACGGCTGCCTGCTTCACATATTATTTTGTTTGTTTGTTTCTTTCTTTCTTTCTTTTTGTTTTTTTGGTGGTGGTGGTGGTGGTGGTTTTTTTTTTTTTTTTTTTTTTGGTTTTTTTTTTTTTTTTTTTTTTTTTGGTTTTTTTTTTTTTTTTTTTTTGGTTTTTCGAGACAGGGTTTCTCTGGGGAGCCCTGGCTGTCCTGGAACTCACTCTGTAGACCAGGCTGGCCTGGCATGGCACATTCCTGGCCAGGGGTGGGAGAGCCATCTAGAGATGCAGCCAGAAAGGACACTCACAGAGGCCTTTCTCCTGGCCCAGGAAGAAAGCAATGGTAGGAGATGTCAAAAGCAGGCAAGCTGGCATCTGTCTGTGCAGCCCAGTCCTTCCACCCTTAGTAGCTCACCACGTTCCTGGTCTTCTTCAGTCTTCGACACCCCTTGGATAAGCCTGAAAATCATTGACTTGCCTGATCTTTCCTTCTGCATAAAAATCACTGCTCTATCCACCCTCACCTCCCTATGCCTGTCCAGCTAGTAGGTGTGAACAGCTGGCTCTCTCCTGGTAAAAGGATTATATTATCTGTAATGTAGATACAGACGTACACGATGCTTCTCTTGAGGACAACACAAGGGGTGGGAGCCCAGCAACTGTCAGAGGAGGGTTTATAACCACGTTATTGGACCTGGCTTTGGAAGTCCTGCCCCCAGAAATCAATCATCCTGCAGACTGACTCTATCTCATGTAGCATGAATCTTAAGATTCCTGCTACAATCCCACCCTCTCCCTCCTCTTCTCTCACCTTCCTCCTGTCCATGCTTGGAACTTGTACCCCTGGGGCCCTAGGGCTCCACTGCCTGATTGGCCTGCTTTTGACCTCATCTGCAAGAGCAGCTTAGGGCACTGCCACCATGGGCCATTTTGTTTAACACATCTGGGTATGGCCCTGAAGGAAGCCACCAGGCTCAGGAGCTTCTTCTAAATGGGTCTATAATTTGCTTCTGAAAGCATGGTACATGGTAGCAAGATACATCTAGAAGACACTAGCTGAAGCACTGTTGATCAAGGATGGGGGCCAAGGACAGGGTTGGGCTAAGCACAGAGCTAAGCCTGCTTACTCATAGATGGTACCATGGCAGTCTGAGGTACCTGTGATAGCAGATGGCTTCAGCCACAGGCATTCTTCTCTGTATGATTCAATGGTTGCCCAAAAATAAAGTTGCAGATGTGTAAGTGTGTATGTGCATGCTCATGTGCATACAAACAATGCCCCCAAATGTGAACAAGGTTTCCATGTAAGAAGCTTTCAGCCTGGGCACACACTCAGAGCACAATGCCATGGGGCACAGAAGGTGCTGTGGAGAGCTGGGAAGGGGCAGAGCTCCAAGGCAGACAAGAGCCTTCCTCTCTTCCCGGCACCAGGGCTGAGGCTTCAGCAGGCATTATTTTCCCATGTCTCTCCTACAGTTCCACTTACTTGGACAGTTGCCAGAATTGGAACCAAAAAAAAGTGTACCTTAACAGTTACAGGTGATCTTACTCAAAAGACTACTACATCATGGAGTAGCAGAGCTGACCCAGATATGGGTGACACTGCCAGGCTGAAGATGTCTCCACCCCAAGAAAGAAAGCCTGTCATCCTAACTCCTCCACTTTGCCTGAGTCTGGAAGTTTCTGGGGCTATTTTCAGTCTTGGGGAAGCAGCTGAGAGATTCAAGACAGCATGGGGTCTGGAAATGCAATGAGATGACCTCCTCTCAAAGGCTGTCCACAAGGAATGGAAAAGAAAGGAAAGGTGTGACATGCTTGTGGCCCTGTGCTAGTGCTGAGTGCCTTGGTCTTTTGGGAAGCAAAGGGACTGGCTAGAATGAGCTCAGAGGAGGTGGCATAGAGAGGGCAAGGGATAGAGCTGAAAAATCATCTTATCCTGAGGTTTGTCAGGAACCACCAAGACCTAAGCATGTAATCCTAGCTGCTGCAGAGACGGAGGCCAGCTGTGTCCCCATTTCAGCAATGGAAACCTGTACTCAAGTCTTTGTCGAAAAAGTTTTATATTTTATTCCCCAACCTCAACAGAGCACAGGCTGGGCCCTTCTAGTCAAGTAAAGTCCCTAGAGATAAGGAAGAGACACTATTTCCAGAAGCCAAGCAGGCCTGAGCCTTTCAGTTTCCCAGGCATCTTCAGATCAGCCTGGCCCTTGGCTTTCTTGCAGCAAAGAGTGGCTCTTGTTGCCTGGAGAGCAGTGACCACTGTAGGAGGCCTGGGTGGGTGCTCTGCAAGGATAGGGCAGCAAAATCAATGCAGACATACCTCCCCCAGACTCTCAGCTCTGAGTCTGAAGTGCAGATGCATGGGGGTTTTACAAACCTGTCTAGAAACACATCTGAGTCAGTTCATCAGATCACATGCAAAGCTGCTCCATGTCCTCTGCCGACAGGGGCTCTCCTCATCTTTCTTGCCCCTGTGTATTTTTCTGTGTTGACAGACAAAAGAGAAGAGTCCCTTATGGTGAGAGCACAGCTTTCAGCTTCTTACTGTTTTGTTTTGCGTTGGGGGGTTGCTTTTTGTTTTTGTTTTGTTTTATGTTGAGACAGGGTTTGTCTGTGTAGCCCTGACTGTCCTGGAACTCACTCTGTAGACTAGGCTGGCCTCGAACTCACAGAGATCTGCCTGCCTGTGCGTCCCAAGTGCTGGTATTAAAGGTATGTTCTTTTAGTTTCTAAAGAAAGGTCCCACCTGGTCTACATAGTGAGTTCCAGGACAGCCAGGACTGTTTCACAGAGAAACCCTGTCTCAAACCCCACCCCCCATCCCCAAAAAAGGGCCCATAACCTTAGAATAAGGCACAATTGGAACTGCCAAAGAGACTGGGTCCAGAAGAAGGGAGGAGCCAAAGGCTGGCCTGTGTGCCACCATTTTGGCAGTTGCAAGATCCAGTCCTGAGCCCATTGGCTAGTGCTGAAAGGCAAGAGCCCAGAGTGGAGTGAGTCTACAGAGCAAGCTGACAGCCCCTCTGGTGCCCCTTCCTGGCAAGGAGAGGTTGATAATGCTGGCCTCTGCCTAGAAGAGGATGACCTTTTGCTGAAGCTGAGGTGAAGAGGGACATCCAGGGCCCAAGAGCATGGTAGTCGTGCCAGGCTGCAGAATCCACACTCCCCCCTGGCTCACACATCAGTGTCTGATATTGCTGTAAAACTCACCTGGAGATCACAGGATATTGCTTCCCTTCCCAAATGTACAGACCAAGAAACAAAATCCCAGAGACAGGACAGAGACTTGGTTACTGGAGGCCAAGCTGTCACCTTCCTTCTGCAGGGGTAAATGACTCAGGGGAATCTGCACTGCTGCAGACACAAGCTGACAGCCCAGCAGCCAGGCCTCCCTTGGCTGCCCCCCATCCATGGAGCTGCTGGCATACCAGTCTGCCTGGCCTCACTGGATTCTGCTCCTCACAAGCAAAGAAGCCAGCCCTTAGCAGTGCCTGACCAAAGACTGGTTCTCAGCATCTCCCCAGTGTAAAATTTCCTGAGCCCCAGATCACCCATGACTCACTTGGGAGCCCTGGAAAGAACAGGCCCTTCCTCTGAGTCTTTCTCCCTCAAAGCTAGAATTGAGACCTAGAACCAGCTGGTATCCTGTATAACTGTTCACCTGAGACTCTGGACTTCTGACTCAGTAACTTGACCCCCTTCCAACCATTGCCTCAGTTGACCTAGCTGTAGCATGGGAACAGTCTCCCTTGACTTCCACAGAACTGATGTGAGGATAATATAAAATACTGGATGGGAATGCTTGGGACCTGTGATGCAAAGGAAAGTAAATGGGACCCGCAGGCTCCCAGCCCCTCCTTCAGTGTCCTAGCTCCACCCTTACCAGGCACTGAGGTTCATATCTTATTCCTATTAAACAAAATATAACTCATGAGAATGAGAGAAGACAGTGATGGGGGACTTGCAGCACTGTCAGTCAGACCTTACACCCTCTGTTGTGAAGACTGGAGGTGGCCCTGGAGGCCAAGCCATATGCCCTGTCCCTGATGGGCCCCTTCACTTCAGCGGGAAGCAGGTACACCAATGTAGACTGCTATGCAACTGCTACCCAGCCCAAACACAAATGAAGTCAAACCTCCCACATACTCTGGGGCTCAAGCTCGGGATAACGGAATAAGCAACAGTGCTTTGGGGGTACATGGGACTACAGGGCGCACCAATCAAGCAGAAATCCAGGAGGGCAGGGGCTTGCAGGTGGGTGGAAGGCGGGTGGGTTGTGGGAGACAGAGAGAAGCTGGGCAGGCCTCGGCCCCTCCCCAATCCTTCCCAGCGCGCCGCTGGCGACATTGCCCCTCCTGGGCAGGGGGCGGAGAAGACCGCCACAGGAGGGGAGGAGGCGGCCGCGCGGAGGCGGTAGTGGAGGAGGGATTTGGAGTTTCCCTCCGCAGCGGTGGTAGCGGCGGCGGCCCCTAAGCTCTAGGAGAGGCCGCAGCCCGGAGGTCTGGTGGCATTTGCTGGTGGCAGTAGCGCTTCTCACTGCCGAGCTACGGAAACTTCCTGGCCGCGACGCACAGAGCCAGGGATCAATCTGAGACTAGCAGAGGTGAGCAGAACACGCGGAGCCCCACCCCACCCCCACACCTCCTGGCTGCCTACCCCCAAGTGTGTTCCTCCACCTTGGACCCCCAAAGTCCTACCAAACACATCCCAAAGGCCCCGAGGCATGCCGGGGAACAAGAATCTACAAGACCCATTAGGTCCTATCACTACACACCCCTGCCACCCTGCCCGCACACCTTCCATGTACCCTGTCATTTCCACCGGCTGCACAGTCGTGAGAGCACAGGTTCCTGTACTGCACATACCAGCAGCCCCCTGCCTCACTACTCACCACTATCCCCAACTCATACCAACACCATCCCAGACCCTGCCACGCCCCAGTACACCCAGGTGCTGACACAGTGCCAACACATCCTGCGATGTCTGCACTAACATAGCGCTCTCTCTCTCTCTCTCTCTCTCTCTCTCTCTCTCTCTCTCTCTCTCTCTCTCTCTCTCTCTCTCTCTCTCTCTCTCTCTCTCTCTTACACACACACACACACACAAAAAAAAAAAAAAAACCCTATGCCCCTACCATCACAAACTTCCCATATGCCCATTACAGACACCTACCCATGTCACCACAGTCCAGAGACACTGTTATCCACCCACTATAACACAAATGCACACCCCAGCAGCCGATACTCCCTATTCCCCAGGCAGACACCTACAGCATCCCCACCACCCTAACATACAGGAACACCTGCTAGATTGCTAGATCTTCAGCATCCTGCCCTGCCCCCATCGCAAATAGCCCTGAACACCCCCCTACATGTCTCTGAGTCCCTCCCACCACTACCCCCAACACCTGGCACACAGGCTCTAAAGGCTGCAGCATTTGGTGACATCCCTGCCAGGCAGTGGCTCACTAGCTTGGGACACCCCTCCAGATGCCTCCTTAAAAGACCTTGAGATTCCCCAGGGACTGACTTGACTTCTTCTCTAAGAGATAAAGACGGCAATTGAGGCCCAAGGTATGGTACTTAGATGTGGAGGCAAGGGACTTCGGGGGGGGGGGGAGGGGGGGCAGGAGTGGGGGTGGAAGGACAGGAGAGGCAGGCACTGAAATGGAGGAGGCCCTGGGACCAAAAGGGTCCTGCGCATAGTGGGTTGCTTCCTTAAGGATTGAAGTCTGCATGCACTGTTTGTGTCCCAGACTGCGTGTATACTGTGAGGAGTGCTGTGTGTGCACGTGTGTTTGTGCGTGTCTGGGAGGAGTGTGCTCCGTAGAAGGAAAAAGCATGAGCAGCACCCTACTGGGCTCCCCCAGGCAACAATTGGTTTCATTCATTCATGCCTTCTTTGTTAACAAGCATTTCTTCTGCGAGCGACCAGCTTGTGTCCCAGGCCCTCACTGGGGGGCTGGGGCCAGCTTGGGACGAGGCACACACCAGTTCCTGCCTTGGAGGAACTCCCAGTCCGGCGAGGAGCCTGACCAGGAAAAGCATAAAGCCATTCACAGTAGAAAGTGGGTTTTCTGGAAAAGACACTGGATTTGGTAGAATCACTGTCTCTGGGAGTTTCGCTCCTGGCCATGTGACCCAGCCCTGACAGCTGAAATCCTACCACTAGGCCAGGCGGGAATCCTGCATTTTGCTGGGGGCAGTGCCGATCTCGGCGTCTTAGGGGACCTGAGAGAGCCCGTGGCAGGCGCTGGGCCTGTTGAGGGGCGTTGGCCCGGCCAGTCAGAGGGCTCTGGGGCGCCTAGCGAGGGCGGCTGTGGGCTCAGTGCTTACCCTGCAGCGAGTCGTGCGAGTGTCTCCTGACTCTACCCGCCTAAGGGGGCCAGATGAGGCCCCCAGTGCGGCGGCCTCCCCCAACCCTGGAGGCTTCGAGAAGCAGGCGAGGGGTGGGGCCAGCGTGCAAGCAGACACTGCCGGGACCTGAGTGGGGGCTGGGGGTGGGGGGATGACTGCACCGAACCCTGCAGTGCGGGGGTGGCAACAGGTTCCCATTTGTCCTGTTTGCTAGCACTGAGGGTGCAGCAGGCGTCGTGCACTGAGCACTGACTTTGGGGACTGAGTGTCCTTCATCTCTATCTCAGGATAAGGTTGGGGCCTTGCCAGCAGGGTCCTGGAACAAGGTGTAGGGGAAGTACTCTCCAGGTGTGCACCCGAGTAGGACTGATTGTAGATGCCTAGGATTCCCTTTCCTTCACCATTGCAGGGTGCCTTCCTCCCATGCTCATCCTCAGGACAGTTCCTATCACTTCTTCCAGAAAGCCTACTCCAGAGAGTACACCTAGACTTCTGAGAGTACCAATATTTTCCTCTGGTTAAAGATCCTCCCTCCAAGCACACTGAGCCTCCAGGACTGGGAGGGTGGGATATGTCTCTCCAGCAGTCTGCATCCATGGCCCCATGACACCACTACCCCATCCACAACATAATCAAGCCCCAGCCAGCCCTACTTACAAGTGTGATACGTTGCAGAACTTCTGTGTTGCCTTCAACCTCTGCCCTACCCCCAAGGTCTTACCTGCAAGTACATTAGGGATATGGAGGAAAGAGCTAGTCTGAATACCCATGACCAGGCAGCACCAGATGCTCACTTCTGACACTGTGGAAGTAGTACATAAGGGAGGAGAAGGTAGAACATTGAGAAAAAAATAAATGAGCCATTCCACAGTGCTGCCTCTTTGAAGCCGCTGGGAGATAGAGAAGGAAGCATCTCTTCTTGACTCTGGCTCATGAAAAGAGTCTTTTCAATAGGCATAGATGGTCTGCAGTGGTGCTAAATGTTGCTCTTTCAGGAGACTTTGCGTTTTTCACTCCTGAGAAAAATGCTTTGCAGTACCCATTCTGTGTGCACCAGTCTGCTTTATTGTCTGGTTCCTTAAGCTGGAGCCCCAGAAGTAACTCATAAGTGTGGGTTTTTCCTGTCTGATTCTTTTGTTGTTGTTGTTGTTTGGGGTTTTCATTGTTTTTTGTTGTTATTGTTTTGTTTTCTGAGAGGCAGTTTGAGATAGGGTTTCTCTGAGTAGAGCCTGGAACTAGCTCTGTAGACCAGGCTGTCCTCAAACTCACAGAGATTCAAGCATCTCTGTCTCCTGAGTGGTGAGATAGAGGTGTGCAACACCACCCCTGTCCAGCTTTCTTGTCTGGTTCTTTTCTTCTTCTTCTTCTTCTTCTTCTTCTTCTTCTTCTTCTTCTTCTTCTTCTTCTTCTTCTTCTTCTTCTCCTCCTCCTCCTCCTCCTCCTCCTCCTCCTCCTCCTCCTTCTCCTTCTTCTCCTCCTTCTCCTCCTTCTTCTTCTTCTTCTCCTTCTTCTTCTCCTTCTTCTTCTCCTTCTTCTTCTCCTTCTTCTTCTCCTTCTTCTTCTCCTTCTTCTTCTCCTTCTTCTCCTTCTTCTCCTTCTTCTTCTTCTTCTTCTTGTTTTTCCATACAGGGTTTCTCTGTAACAGTTCTGGCTGTCCTGGAACTTGCTCTGTAGACCAGGCTGGCCTTGAACTCACAGAAATCCACTTGCCTCTGTCTCCTGAGTGCTGGAACTAAAGGTGTGCGCCACCACCACCCTGCTCTTGTCTGGTTCTTGTTGTATATTTGTTACACTCATTTCCAAAAGGGTGCTACCAAAACAAAATCCCCCCTAGGATGAGAACAGCACACTTGTTTCACAGCAACCTTGCTAACACTGAGTGTTCTCATTTTGAGAACATTCTACTAATGTAGTAACTGGGATGCGTTTCCTTATTTTTTTTTTTTTTGAATTGGCTTTCCTCCCATGCCTGAGCTTCAACCTTTCCCCAAATATTCTTACCCCATCACATTCCTTCCTTCAGGCAGAGTATGCAGTCCTTGAGTTCCTTACCCATTTATCTACGGGGTCTTAACCCTTTGATTATTTTGTGCGAGCTTTATCTTATCTGTTGTGTGTTTTCCTTTAACACTGTTATTTGCTTTTCTTGGGCTTTTAGCAGAGAAAGAACACATGGCCAGATGGGGCTTTTTTAGAATCCTCCCCCTACCTCTCCTTTCATTGTCAGCACTTATCACCCAGATATCTCTATATTTCATTCAGTATCTTATTGTTGGTGTGTCCTGCTGGACTGGAAGACCCAGGAAAGGAGAGCCTCTGTGTGTCTTTACTGTTCATCACCTATCTGGTGGGCTGGTTGGAAGCCACCAGCTTTTGTGAACTGAATGGTGCTCTGGCATGGGGCAGGGTAGAGAACAAGCTGAAGTTTTAGAAACTGGGACAGTGACTTTTGTAGCCGTGGCCTGTGCAAAAGACAGAAGGAGCATGGGAATGGTGACATATTGCAGTAAAATGACTTACCTCCATGTGGATCCATCCAGGGGTTTATGGGAAGAAGGCCACGAGGAGGAGCCAGGGATGGCTTTTAGAATTCATCATGTGGTAAGAGCACAGTGCACCAGTTTAGAGTTGGATGCTCAGAATTCCTGGGTACCTTTAGCCAGGCCTGTACAAATGAAGCCCAGATGGGAATAGGGAACCCAGGAGCTGCCTTGTGCCTTCAGTATTTCAGTGGCATTTCACAGTAGCCCAAATTGGATGGCTCTGATTAGCCCATTATACAGATGGGGGCCATCTAGTTCCAAACAAGGGCTGATAGTTCAGGGTTATTGAGTTATTTGAGGCAGTTTCTGGTTCTGGGGCCCTGGGCTTTTGTCCCCACCCCTCTTCCTGCCTCCAGGGACCAGACTGGCGCCGAGCAGGGGCAACAGCAACTGGTCCCCTGCTGGGCCCCCGACCTGCCCTTGGCCTCTGCCCCGACCCCTTCCCGCCTGGGTGGGAGCCCTAGCTCAGCCTGCTGCTGGCAACTCCTACCCGGCTGTTCGCTTGCACTGGTTGGCTGGCCGGCCCCTGAGCCCGCCCTGCTGCCCCACCGCCCCGCCCCACCCCGCCCCACCCCGCCCCTCTGAGCTGCTACTAAGTTGGTCCGAAGGCAGAGGCTTCCAAGGTGGAAGCTGGATCCGGCTGCCAGGAAGCGGCCAGCGCACGAGTGGCGCGAGGCTTGGCTTCCACGTGCGAGCCTGCTCCGCCACCCCGCCCTCTCCGAACTCCCGAGCCTGGGGACTCCCTCTCCAGGGACGATACCTGCGCCCTGCCGTGGCACTAGCTGTGGCCAGGACGTCCACGCGCGCGGCCGCCTGCCTCTGGATCTCGCTCCAGGTCTCTCCTTTTGTTCTCTCCTAGGGTGGGGAGGAGTGGGACCGAGTCAGCTCTTACAAGACTCGCCTAGGCCCATCACCTCGGTGACCCTCTTGTTCTCTGGGTCTTTCTGGACATAGAGGCGATCCAGGCCTTGAACCCAATTTCTCCACACATCCAAAGTCGAACTTGGGGAGTGATGGAGATCAGGGCAAGTGAGAAAGTCATAAAAGGGGTGTGAAGGAACTGTCTTTAGTCCTCCTAGAACCCCAGAAAAAGCCTTCTTTCAAGAGGCCGCTAGACACCCAGCTTTCTAAGAGAGGCAGGGAGCAGCACCCCATTGGCGGCAGCCTCCGGTGTTTTTCCTCGGGCGCCTTCCTTGGTCTCCTCTCTGTGGGTGGAGCGCAAAGAGAGAATCAGGCGGTGGAGGAATGTTCCTGCAGGGACACTCGGCGCCTGCCCTCAGGACAGGGGCTGACTTCCCGTCTCAGTAGCCTGGTCCACACTACCTAAGTAGAGATAAACCTGCCCTCACTCTGCGCCCTACGTCTCTCAACAGCACCCGCTGCCAGACGTGCAGAAGTGCAGAACACTGCGCACCCATGGAGAGTCTGGGTCGTTCATGCCTGTGGCTGCGCCAGGAGCTGTCGCCCCCGCAGCCACAGCTTCTACTGCTGGACTGCCGCAGCCAGGAGCTGTACGAGTCAGCGCGCATCTGCGGGGCTTTGAGCGTGGCCCTGCCCGCCCTAATGCTGCGCCGCCTCCGTAGAGGGAGCCTGTCCGTGCGCTCGCTCTTGCCTGGGCCACCGCTGCAGCCTCCCCCACCCGCTCCTGTGCTTCTGTACGACCAGGGTAGTGGCCGATGCCGCCCTGAAGAGGCAGAGGCCGAAGCCCAAGAGTGGGAGGCTGACTCGGTGCTGGGCATTCTGCTCCAGAAGCTGCGAGAAGAAGGCTACCTGGCCTACTACCTACAGGGTAGGTGAGGGGCAGTGGGCTGAGGGAGGGCACAGGCCGCCTGTAGTTACCTCAGGTCGGGTGAAGGTCCTGCCTTGCAAGGGGATTTCATAGTTAGTTTATCCTTGGGCAAACTCCATCTTATTTTGTCTAAATGTAGGTAAGACTCCCTCCTGCCAGACAGCTTTTGGGAAGGCAGACCTGAGCATGACCTTGGGCAAGTCCTTCATCCCTCCAAGCCCATTTATAAGTCTGGGAAATGGGGAGAATTGGTTCACAGGATTCCCTAGGGCAACAGCTGCAGTGGCACTTACCATCCAGAGAAACAGCCACAAGTGCTGAGTGAGGATGGATGGGTGTCCACAGCACACACCACAAGTGGCGCTCCAGTATAGATGAAACTGCTGGCTTGTGTATTCCCTTTGGCAATATCTGCAACCCACCTGGGTTGTGTAGGGCCAGCTGCCTAGCCCCAGCCAGGGATTCTTGGCTGCCCAGGTGGCTATAAAAGCAAGACACACCCCACCCTTTGCTTCTTTCCTGACAGGTGGTTTCAGCAAATTCCAGGCCGAGTGTCCTCATCTTTGTGAAACCAGCTTCAGTGGTCATGCTGGCTCAAGCCTGGCCCCAGTGCCTAGCTCAGTGCCTGTGGTGGGGCTAGGTAACCTGTGCTTGGGCTCTGATATCTCCGATGCAGAGTCTGAGGCTGATCGCGACTCCATGAGCTATGGCCTAGATTCGGAGAGCACCACGTCCCCTCCAACTGGGCTGCTACCACCCTTCCCAGTTCAGATCCTGCCCAATCTCTACCTAGGCAGTGCCCGAGATTCAGCCAACTTGGAGAGCCTGGCTAAACTTGGCATCCGCTATATCCTCAATGTCACCCCCAATCTCCCTAACCTTTTTGAGAAGAATGGTGACTTCCACTACAAGCAGATCCCCATCTCTGACCACTGGAGCCAGAATCTGTCCCAGTTCTTTCCGGAGGCCATTGCATTCATTGGTGAGTCCTCCCTATCCTCCCTGTCTTCTCTCTCCACCTGACTCACCCACCAGACTGCTCCTTACCCTCTCCTGTAAGGGAATTCTTGCCCAGCTTAGCTACCATTCCCAGAGCCCACAAGACACTTGGGGAGGTGGGGGTAGAGCTCAGGTCAGCTGCCAGTGAAACCTCCCAGATATGGGCAAAGTGGGGTGGGAAGACTGTGATAGTACCCCCCAAAATTCACTTGGATTTGGCCTCACTCACGCTGACCTTTGACTGGGGGGATGTTTCTGTACTGCTCTACCTAGATGAGGCCTTGTCCCAGAACTGTGGGGTGCTCGTCCATTGCCTGGCAGGGGTCAGCCGCTCTGTCACTGTCACCGTGGCCTACCTCATGCAGAAGCTCCACCTCTCACTCAACGATGCCTACGACTTGGTCAAGCGGAAGAAGTCTAACATCTCGCCCAACTTCAACTTCATGGGGCAGCTGCTAGACTTTGAGCGCAGCCTGCGCCTGGAGGAGAGGCGCTCTGGGGGGCAGGGCAGTGGGGGACCAGAGTCCACTGTCTCAGACCCACCTTCTTTCTTTACTACGCCTACCAGCGATGGGGTCTTTGAGCTGGACCCCACATAAAACCATGTGGGGCTCCTGGGCTGGTCCCTACCCATGACCCCATGTATTAGCAGGGATGGGATACAGCCATAAGTGGGGAGGGGGAGGGGGAGGGGAAGCTCAATACCTCACTCGGGGGTGATGGAGCAAGGCAGGAACAGAGCAGAGACCTGCCCTACCCCGTATTCTATTACATGTGCCTATGGGTGGGCCCGTGCCTACAGGCCTGACCCGCACCGCTTTAGGGCAGGACCATGCTCCAGAACCTGCCTCTTCTGCGACTGTTACTTTATTCTTTTAGGGTGGGAGTGGGGCTTCCTATCCAAGAGATCATTCCAGATTGCTGCCTGCTGCCTGGGCTCTGTCCCTTCTTGCTGTTTCCTCTTCAGGAAGAGTGAATCACACTTTGCCACAGGGATCTACTCATAGTTCCTTCCCTGTCCCCAAATGGCTACCTGTGGTAAAAGACCTCACAACTCTCACTGGTGTAGTCTCCTTCCTGCCTCTCTGACTAGGACTTAGACCTCTTGGGGCTCCGGGGTGTGGACTCGGAGACGCAATGGCTGCTCTCGGCATCCACAGGGACAGCCTCTCTGGGTGGCTTTTTGCTGGGCAGTGTCTCATGGGAGGGCAAGGGCCTGGGAGCCAATAGGCAGAATCCCAGCCACACATCTGGTGCCCTGACTGTTTCTTTCCTCCTCCCCCAGATGTCTTGACAGGATCACTGAGACTCTTTGTGACTGAGGGTGGTCAAACTGCCACCGGAGGAGATGGGGTCTCAGAGTGAGAGCTGAGGGGGAGGGAGAGAAGGATGAAGGCCTCAATTTTGCTGCTGTGTGTCTCACACAGCCAGTGTTGGTTTGGGGGGCAGGGAAAGGGCTAAGCTGCAGATACACACATGGTCATTCATTGCAGCCCACACGCCTTTGTAAACACTGTGTATGTATGTGTGTGAGTGTTCACACATGCACACTAGCCTACTCACACATTCAGCCTGGGGCTGGCAATACCTGTGGCAGCAGGACCATCTTGTCTTTGGACCTGGAGAAGGTTGTGCTTATTTGTTTTTGTAATCCACTTCATAATTGCTTTCTTTAATTGTTCCTCCTGAATAAACAGTTTATTTAAGATACTGAACAGTGCTGCTTCTTGGGCTCCTTGGGGAAGGGAGGGAGAGGAAAGGGAAATGTGCCCTTCACCCATCATCATTTCCCATCTGTGTACACTGCCTGTTGGCTACCTGGTCACTCAAACCCATTTGAACTCCTATTACAGCACACACTTCAGGGAGTGGGGTACAATAAGCCAAACATGAAGAAGCTGCATGTTTGGAGGGGAATGAGATGCAATGTGTGGGCCAGTCCCACAATTAGAGAAGGGAATCAAATATCCCAAATCAGTAATGAAGTTGCAGTGAGCTCCAAGCCCTGAGGAAGAGTGGGCTGTCTATTATGCTGAGGGTGACCAGGACTTCAACAGGGAAAGGACATGAGCTGGATGTATCATACAGTGTGGAATCTAGGCTGCAAAAGCCTAGGCAAGGTCAGGGAGAACCCTGGGAGAGGTGTTCACTGGGCCATCTGAAATGTTACGTAGAGCTTACATCACTGCATTCATTGTCTTTTAAGTTTTAGGTGGGGCTCTTCCGCTCAACACTGCCAGTGCATTCTCCACACTACAGCTGGCAGAACTAGGAAGCTGTTTCCAAAGCTTCGAGCAGAAGGGAAGAAAGAGCAACAGAATATGTATAGGGGAGAAAGTAATGGAAGCTGAATTGTTTTAGTCAGGTTTCCAGTCAGCACAGGAATACCTGAGGCAATATGCTTGCAGAGAGAAAAGATTGATTTTTGGCTCACATTTCAGAGTTCCGGGCCATGGCTTGTTGGCCCCTTCACTCTAGGCAGCACCTAATTGTGGGGGTGTGTAATGAAACATGATTGGACACTTCATGATCAAGAGAGAAAAGAGAAGAAAAGGAAGGGACTGGGGTCCCCCAAGACCCCTCAAGAACACACCTCAAACTAAAGACATATCCCTTCCCCCTAAGCTCCACTTCCAGTCGCACTACCTGAGGGACTAAGCCCTTAAACACGGCCTTTTGAGAGACATTCAAGATCCCAACTGCAGCAATGGACTTAGGAACAAGATGTTTAGGTAGCACCCCCAGTCCAAAAGTCCTGAAATATGGGTGAAATTTAAAATCCTGTGACCAGATGGCTGAGCTGGTGAAAAAATAAGAGAAAGGTTCTGAGGGGGAAAAAAAGTGAGGACCTTCCAGCCCAAAACTGCCTGGGGCATAGCCTTGGACTAGGAGCCAGGAGCCTCCACAGGAATGTAGCTTCCCATACCTGTTGGTGTATAAAACTGATAACACCTTTCTTTCTTTCTGGCAGGGTCACATGTAGCCCAGGCTGACTTCATATTCACTGAATTCATTGTAAGGCTGAGAATGTCTTTGAATTCCTGATCCTCTCACTTCCACCTCCCAAGACCAGAATCCCAGGCAAAGTGTTGTTCTAAGTCATTAAATTTAAATCCCAGCACTTGGGAGGCAGAGGCAAGTGGATCTCTGAATTCCAGGCCAGCCTGGTCTACAAAGCGAGTTCCAGGAGAGGCAAGGCTACACAGAGAGACCTGTCTTGAATAAGAAAAGATGGTAGTTTGTGACAGCAGCAAACAAATGCAATAGATGACCTTGAAAAATACCCCTACAGAAACAAATGAGGATGCATGCTTATCTTGAACTTAGATTTGGGTCAAAGTGGAATGAAAAGAAAATGTCACCTCCTAAGAATTTCTTGCCACAAGCTGAAAATGTCATTCAGAGTGGCCTACATGTGAAGTCATGTATGTTCCCTAGCATATCTCTGGGAAGAACACAGGTACTGATGGGGCTGCTGGGAAGCTCTGGACATGTCTTGAAAGTACATCTGGACTTCAATTATGATGGCCCAGCAAAAATAGCACAGTTGGACCTGGAGAGGTGCCTCAGTGGTTACTCTTGTAAAGGACCAGGGTTGGGTTCCTAGAACCCAAATGGTGACTTACAACAATCTGTAAATCTAGTTCCAAGGAATTTGGTGCCCTCTTTTGGCCTCCACAGGCACTGCACATATGTGGTGCATAGACATACATGCAGGTGTAGATGTATCCAACCTTCCCATCAAACAATAAACACAGAACCAATGCAAAGAAGAAAGCCAAGAGGTCAGAGCTAAGAGCCAAAACCTTACCCTTCCTCCTGCAGTGGTCCTACCTCTCCGAACCAGAGCTACCCCTGTGTTAAAGTCTTTATATAGAGTTCCTGTCCTGCCTTCTCATTGGTTGTAAACCCAACCATATGACCGCCTCCTCACAGCCTGTCTGTATAGGCCTCCAGGTTTTCCATGATTGGTATTAAGATTAAAGGCATGTGTATCCAATAATGGCTGTATCCCTGAACACACAGAGACTTACCCAGCTCTGCCTACTAAGTGCTGGAATTACAAGCGTACGCTACCACTGCCCTGCTTTCCTATGGCTTGCTAATAGCTCTGACCCCCGGGCAACTTTATTTATTAACATACAAATAACATTTTAATATAAATAAAATATCACCATATGCAGGCAAACTACTCAAAAAAATAAAATAAAATTTTAAAATCAATCTTTAAAAAAGCAAAGTTTAAGCTGAGTGTAGAGGCACACACCTGCAATTCTGACACTGGGAGATGAGGTGAGGAGGATTAGGAGTTCAAGGCCAGCTTATGACTTGTCAAAGAACTACTGGCCACTAAGGAATGCAGAGAGTAGAAGAAATAGTCTTCCCCAGGGAAGAGCACATCAATTGGCTAACCAATACAAAATGGTCAGCCCTAAAAACATATATACAAGTAACATTATACAGACTGAGCAGATTATATTTAGAAATATGTGTATGTATGTATGTATGTGTATGTATGTGTGTGTGTGTGTGTGTGTGTGTGTGTGTGTGTGTGTGTGTGTGTAACAACAATTAATACAAAAAGAAGCCATGAACTTGTAAGAGAGCAAGGAGTGGCTTATGAAAGGGTTTGGAGGAAGGAAAGGGAAAGGGGAAATTATGTAATTATAATCTCAAAAAAGAGAAGAAATAATTTTTAAAAGACAATGGCTGAAAATTTCCCACTGTAGAAAGACTCTGTGGGGGAGTTGCTAAATATCCCCAGTCTCTGTCTTCCCCTTTACCCTTTTATAAATTAAAATACCCAAAGGTCAACAGAGTATAAACATCCCAAGTAGAGATTTCATTTTCTGTCCTCCCTTGTGCCAGCTGTGGTCTTGTTCTGGTAGCACCTTAGCATTATGTGTATGTGTGTGTGTTCTTTTCTTTGCAGATGCACATATAGGGCAGAGAACCACCTCAGATGTCAATAATTCCTGAAGCATTGTCCACCATGCTTTTTGAGACAGGATTTCTCTCTGACTTGGAGCTCACCAAGTAGGATAGTCTGACTACCCAGTAAGCCCCAGCAGTAGGCCTATCTCTGCCTCCCCAGGTCTGGATTTACAGCATGAGCTATCACACCCAGCTTTTTAATGTGGATTTGGCGGTATTGAACTCAAGATCTTCTGGTTGCAAGGCAAGCACTTTACTGACTGAGCCATCTTCCCAGTCCATCATTTTAGCATTTTATTTATTTATTTTAGTTTTTTTGAGACAGGGTTTGTCTATGTATCCTTGGCTGTCCCGCAACTCAGTCTGCAGACCAGGCTGGTCTCAAACTCACAGAGATCCTCCTGCCTCTGCCTCCCAAGTACAGGGATTAAAGGCATGAGCCACCATTGCCTGGCACATTTTAACATTTTAATCAGTTATTTAAAATTCACAGTCTGATAAAGCCAACGTTTATGCCCTATCTGATTCTGGTTCTGGTACCCACTTTGCCTCATCCTTTAGTATGCCTTGGAACTGTCTTGTTGAGAGTTGAATGTGATGTACCAGGGGGAAATAATGACTATAATAGTCTCCTGTAATGTGGTAGTGAAGTAGCAGGGAGAGGTCATGTTCTATAGTGTGCTGTGTCTTGGGGAACCTGTGCCTCTGGCTTGTGCTTCTCAGATTCTGACTCCCCAAAGGTGAGGCAGGATGACCACAGGGGACTAGAGCTGGGTACTCCCTTTCCCCACCCACCCGTCCACCCACCCCTGCCATGAAGGCTCCAATAAAGCCCAGCAGGGCATACCCCACCTCAGTAGCTTCTCTTGGGGACAGAACTTGTTAAGAATAAAATGCTCTGGATACATTTTTATTTTTTTTTATTTTTTTTTGGTTTTTTTTTGGTTTTTTTGGTTTTTCGAGACAGGGTTTCTCTGTGTAGCTTTGCGCCTTTCCTGGAACTCACTTGGTAGTCCAGGCTGGCCTCGAACTCACAGAGATCCGCCTGGCTCTGCCTCCCGAGTGCTGGGATTAAAGGCGTGCGCCACCACCGCCCGGCTGGATACATTTTTAAATGCCTAGGTTCTTTTCCCCTGCCAGAAGCATGAGCTTGTTCTTTGTGTGAACCCTATTAGGTTTATGAAGAGAAAGTTCCAAAGAGCATGAATATCTGCAAATTTTAATTGTCTGGTGCTGTGGGATGGTCTGTATGTCAAATGTGTTGCTGATTGGTCAATGAATAAATCACTGATTGGTCAGTGGCCAGGCGGGACTAACAGAGAGGAGAATTGAGAGAACAGGAAGCTGGGTGAGGGAGACACTGCCAGCCGCCATCAGGACAAGGAAGATGTAAAGTACCGGTAAGCCACAAGCCACGTGGCAAGGTATAGATTAATAGAAATGGATTAATTTAAGCTGTAAGAACAGTTAGCAAGAAGCCTGCCACGGCCATACAGTTTGTAACCAATATAGGTCTCTGTGTTTATTTGGTTGGGTCTGAATGGCTGTGGGACTGGCGGGTGTCAGAGATTTGTCTTGACTGTGGGCCAGGCAGGAAAACTCTAGCTACAAATGTCTGGCCTTCCTACTTTGAGCCTCTGCAATTCAGCAATATCTATGGAGCAGGTCTTCAATGATCCTGGGTGGCTCACGGGTTCCTTGGGTTCCTGTGTGTGCCTGCCCCACTCCAACCTGGTGAGGATGGCTGATGGAATTGGAGGAGTGCTTCATTTTAAGCTGC